TGATAGAGAGCTACTAATTGTAACTCATTAAATTGTTAGTGACCGATAATTGCCTTTCATATCCTCTTCCAAAAACATAATTACTACAGAAAGCAATTATACCACCAGTAGGGGCAGATCTTAGAAAAAGTAATTTTCTGAGATGGATGCTACACTTTTCCATCCTTTCTTTCTACCTTTCTTTTGAGATTACCAGCTTAAAACACAAAGCTGGAAACTGATGTGTGAGCCTGGTTCTGTACCTGACAGATTTCAGGAGACAGTAAGGCTTTCCAGGTCTGCCCCACTATCCATCCCAGCTGTGAGTACCAGCCACACCTGAGGGCCTGAGTCTTTTTTTTTCGAGGTCAGATCTAATTTATTTGTTACTGAAGTATTTCACTTTTTTTTTTGTATCATAACATTCCATTTATTAGCATTTCACTTTTGACTGGACTCAGACTTGGAAGTAGAAGCTCTCAGAGAGGACAGCCTGCGTCGCTTGGCAGTCTGCTCCTGGCGTTTTTCTTTGGCTTCCTTCATTCTCTTGGCCAGAAGTTTAGCATTCTCTGTAGCCTCCTCCTTGTTTTTCTTAGTGCGCTGCTTCTTCAGTGCAATACGGCGGCGTTTGTGTTGAAGGACACGTGGAGTAACAAGTCTCTGGATCTTGGGGGCTTTAGTCCTGGGTTTTTTACCTTCCTTGTTCAAGGGCTTCCTGACAACATACTGGCGCACATCATCTTTCTTAGATAGATTGAAAAGTTTGCGAATTCTGCTAGCTCTTTTGGGCCCTAGGTGCCGAGGCACGGTAGTATCGGTCAACCCAGGAATGTCCTTCTCTCCTTTCTTTACAATAACCAGATTGAGAACGCTGAGGTTGGCGTCCACGATGCAGCCTCGGACGGATTTCCGCTTTCTCTCCCCGGTCCTCCTGGGTCAGTAGCAGAAGTGCCCTTACTCAGCAGCAGGCTCACACGGCCGTGGGTGAGGACGCCCTGCTTCGTGGGGAAGCCCTGCTTGTCGTTCCCACCGCTGATTCGGACCACATAACCTTCCACTCTTCACCCAGGGAGTCAGCGGCCACTTCTGTGGCCATGCGCTTCTCATAGAACGTGCGAAGCTTGCTTTTATCATCGACCTCGATGAGTTTCTGGCAGCCTGTGGCTGGGAAGGAGATGTTCAGCTTGATGTCGAAGCTACTGATTGCTTCCCAGGTGCCACAAAAAGAGCCTGAGTCTTAAAGAATAAGAAAATGAAAAGACATCAAAATGACCTTAAAGATACTGTTAAAATTATAGGTTAGGATAAAGTTCTAAACCAGGTCACTGTAGTTCTGTTTTTGTTTTCCTTGAAACTCTGAGAAATGAGACCAGTGTATGTGTGTATTTTCTTTTCCCTTCCTACTTTTCTCCTTCCCCCATCCCAGTTGTTCTTCCCTTTTTGAGCTATTTCTTCCATTTTTACAATATCTACTGTACATTTTGGATCTTATTTACTCTTTTAGATTTTTAGACTAGGTATACAATGTGATATTTACATGTGCAAGTCTGACTGATTTCACTTATGAGTATGGCCTCAAATATTACATCCATTTACCTATACAAGCCTTGAGTTTATCTTTCTTTATAGCTGTGTAGTACTCTATTGTATAAAAAAAATCCCCACATCTTTTTTATTAATTCCTTAGTTGATGGGCACTTACAATGTTTTCAATATTTAGCTATGACAAATTGTACTACTGCAAACGTAAGTGCTTATGTATCACTGTGGTTTGATGTTTTCATTTCTTCTGGGAATATACCCAAAAGGGGAATAGCTGAGTTGAACAGACCTCTAATCCCAGTTTTTTGAGGCATCTCCACACCGATTTCCACAGTGGTTTCACCAGTCTGCACTCCCAACAACAGTGGAGCAGGGTTCCTGTTTCCCCACAACCCCTCCAGCATTTGTCATTGCTTGATTTCTTGGTGATAGCCATTCTTTCTAGAGTGAGATGGAATCTCAGTGTTGTTTTAATGTGCATTTCTTGAATGACCAAAAATGTTGAGCACTTTTTCACATTTTTATTTGCCATTTGTATTTCACTTAAGAAGTGCATATTTATCTCAGATGCCTGTTTTTGGATTGGGTCTTTGAATTTGGAGGGGGGGGGTCTGGTCTTTTACATTTCTTTTCTTTTTTTTCTTTTCTTTTCTTTTTTTTTTTTTTTACATTTCTTTATATGCTCTAGATAAGAGTCCTTTGTTTGAGGGACCCTTGGCTAAAACTTTTACCCACTCTGTGGGTTGTCTTTTCACTTTGTTAGTTATTTGCTTTGATGTGCAAAAACTTCTTTATTAAAATGAGATCTCAGTTGTTCATTCTTTGAAATATTTCCTATGCAGTTTGGGTTTTGTTCATGAACTCTCTGCTTCTCTGTCTTTCAGATTTCTACCTACTTTCTCTTCCATTGGATTTACTTTTCTCTTTTAGTATTTAGATCTTTGATCCATTTTGACTTTAGTATTGTGTGTGGCGATACACATGGATCTAGTTTTAGTCTTTGGCATGTGGAAAGCCAGTTTTTCCAGCACCATTTATTAAAGAGGCTGTCTTTATTCCAGGGAACACGTTTGACCCCTTTGTCAAAGATAACATGTCCGAGTGTGTTTGTGGTTGTTGTGTCTGTGTGTTCTAATGGGTTCCACTGGTCCTCGGGTTCTTTTTCTCCAGTACCATGCTAATTTTATTACAGTAGCTTTGTTCTATAACTTCAAGTCAGGGATTGTGATGCCTCCTGCCTGGCCTTTGCTGTCCAGGATTGACAGATACTCTATGTAGAAGATACCAAAAACTTTATCAAAAGACTTTTAGATTTAATAAGCAAATTTTTTAGCATAGCTGGATAAAAAGTCAACACTCAAAAATCAATAGCAGTCTTATACACAAACAACAAACTCACTGAGAAAGAAATTAGGGAAACACCTTTCCCAATAGCATCTGAAATGATGAAATATTTAGGAATCAATCTAACAAAGGAAAAGGGAGTAAAACATCTATATATTGAAAATTAGAGTACTCTTAAAAAGGAGATTGAAGAGCAATATCAGAAAAATGGGAAGACATTTCTTGCTCGTGAATAGGAAGAACCGACATTGTGAAAATGGTCATAATCCTAAAATCATTATACAGATGAAATTTAACGAAATCCCAATCAAAGTTCCATTAGTATACCTTCCAGAACTAGAGAAAACATTCATAAAATTCTTCTGGAAACAGAAGACCTGGAATAGCAAAGGCAAGTCATTGTATATTTGAATGTGGTGTAGGGGATTGAGACTTGCTCATGTTGAGAAGGGAGGAGAAGAAAGAGCCCAGGAACCCAGGAGTCAGGGTGGCATCAGCTCAGGACAGGGTGCATAGAGATCGAAAGCTTTGGGTGCATTCAGGTGTGCAAGCAGAACGAACTCATGGAAGACATTCCAGAACTCTCCGAATCTTCGACAAGCTTAGCAACTGTTAGTTACACGATGGGACAATGAACTCTAATCTGTGCTGTACTCTCATTAACATTTTAAAATCAGATGCTCTTTTATGCTATTACTTTCTTTTCTATAAATTTCTCTACCATGAAAGAATCTTCTGTTTGGCTTCTTCTAGGAGTTATTTACTTTGTGGAAGGGTTAAAATAACACTCTGACCTCATAATAATTTTAAACACAGTACTCTAGTGGGATAAAGTATTCATTTTCCTGAGAATCCAGCTAGCCAAAATAATAATGGTGGCAGTAAGTTTCAGCATGCATATATCTCATCATATTTATTACTTCATTTTCATGTAGACTCTTGCTAAAGGAATATGTCTGTATATAATTATGTATATTCTGGGTAATTACAATATCAGTCTCATGATATACCAGCCCCAGAAACCCTGGTATGAAAAACGGTGCCCCCAAACAGGGCATGATAGCCCACACCTGTAATCCCAGTGCTGGGGAGCCTGAGGCAGGAGGATCACTACAAGTCTTAGCTGCATAGCAAGACCCTGTACAAAATAAGTAAATAAAAAATCGATTAAGACTGTAATAACATTTATTTTTCCAACGATAATTCTTAGCTCATTTAATATTTCATAATTAATGCATTAATTAATAAATTACTAGGATTTCTCCTGTGTTAGAGATTACAAAATCGAAGCACGGGAAATTTAAATGGATGGCGGTTCATACTTTCTGTTTCCTAAATTGTAAATTATAACATAGATATCAAAGAGGGGGTTTGAAAAGTAAAATATATAGAAAGAGTTTGACATTATTGATCTGTAGCGACCTTTCAGTAAGAAGGCTGCCTTCCAGGTTAAAACAAGAAGGTAGCGCAGCATGAAGACAACGATGAGGGCCTAAACCCTATCACTTACATTATCCCGCCTTCATGAAGAAGTGACGCACCATCTAGGAGGGTGGATTTCACGTGCATCCTGACCAGTGGGGATTTGCCGTGTGCTCCCGACACCGTCATGCCTCCTTTTGATTGGCCAACATGACTACTTTCTCGTCCACCTGAGTGGACGCGGTATTATACAGCGAGGATTTCCCTACCTCTCCTCCTTTGGCGGATGTTTACTGAAAGCCTCTTGTGTGCTGGGCCCTGTACCAAGTGCTTTCTACGCATTGAATTTCAACCTTCCCGTCTAGCTTTCGAGAACTTCCATGATCTGATCCCTAGTATTTCTTTTCTATTATTCTATTAACGTTCATCTTTATATGGAAGGTTGATCTTTCTGTTGTCGCTGCACATGAAGTTCCTTTAGGCCTCTGCGCTACAGCCTCTCCTGCTCGGAGTCCTCCATTTCTCTCTTCTCTTCCCGTCTAGTCCTTAATGATTCTTTCATGGAACCTTCTTCGGATAGTGCAGCTCTCTCTCCCCGATCAGTTTTGCTAATTTCAACAACATATAGTAACTTTATGCACAATTTTTCATTTTTCCTAGTAGCTAAATTTCAATCCTTAAGCAGAGAATATGTGTTATATTTCTTTGCGTTCTAAAAATGAATGACGATTTATAGCGTTTTGAAGTTTGTTTGTTTTATGCCTGGCTAATATGAGGTATTACGTATCATGAGTTCTTTAACCTGCATCATTTTATCTGTCAAAGTGCTGAGGATATTACACGCAATTTAGTACTAAGGAACTTTAAGTAAATCTTTGTTGCTGTGAAATTTAAGATTATAATTAAAGACTTTGTTTCCTAGTGTAGTATTCTGAGAAGCTAAAAAGAAAGCCTGCACGTAAGCATTACCTGCGCCATCGCAAGGGAATGATATAGACCCTGTTTTGCCATTAGTTCAGCGTGTGTTCCTTTTTCCGCCACTGTCCCGTCCTTTATAGTCACAATCAGATCTGCGTTGCGAATAGTTGAGAGTCGGTGAGCTACCACGATTGTAGTCCGACCTTTGCTTGCCTGCAGAACCAAAGGGATAAAATAAATGTAAAGTTAGTAGAAATGACCTCTGCAACAGTCAAGAAAGCTTCTTTTTTTTCTTTGCTTTTTTTACAAAATGTATGGAACAGGGTCTACAGGGTCTCATTATACAGAACGAACTCATAGCGATCCACCACGCCCAGTCTCAGTCGCAGTGTCAGCGCACCTCGGGGGCGGGGCTGGCACAGCACGCCGGGGAAGAAAGCTTCTTTTTGCAGTGTTATTTTAAACATTAAAAAAAAAAACAAAAAACTTTCTTTGGATATAAAATTTTGGAAACTAGTCGATAAAGAAGGCTACTAGAAATTAAAATAAAGAGGAATGTAACTTGGTTACATATTAGAGATTTTATAAAACCCTAGTGTCTTAGAACTAGAAAGAAACCTAAAGACCACTTCTGAACTATCCAAAAGCAGAAACCAAAAGCCAGTAACTTAAATTCATTATTTCTCATCTCTAAGGTGGGGATATTTTCAACGAATTGGGTACAGATTTGAGGTAATTACATGTTCTTACTTTTTTACTAGTTATCTTCAACACATGGAAGATTACTCACAGTATGGGGGAGGAGATCAACACATTTTCAAAGGGATAACACTCAGACCACGGTAACCAAGTCCAAAAACGCTGAGGAGAGCCCAGAAGCTATTCCGGTGTCTCCTTCCCGTCACTGTGCCACTCACCCTTCTCTGTGGTCCAGGGCTCTTCCCTAAAAGTATTGAGATAGGACTGAAGCACTTTCCTTTTCTTTCTTTCTTTCTTTCTTTCTTTCTTTCTTTCTTTCTTTCTTTTTTTTTTTTAACTGGAAAGCAGGTTATTATGTCACATGAATGGCTAGCAAGCATGAGAACATCAACCTAAGAAAACTAATGTGTAAGAAGAAAGCCAGTAGTTCGGTAAGAGCGCATAATACAGTTAATCTGACATAAAAACGATGCATGTGACTATTATAGTATTACATGGTGATTAAATACAAAAGGTAAGCAATCTCATATAGACTACTGAGTTCATAATTTTCTAAAGGCAAGCAAGCCTAATATTTAATATGTTATTTATGTTTTCTTAAATCACAGCTCTTTAGTTTGAATCTCATTCCTATTTATGGTTTTGTGATCTTAATTAAGTTCATCTCCCTAAATCTTGGTTTCTTCATTATATTAGAAAATTATGGTGCCTGAATTTTAGAGTTGTTGTGCAGATTTTTTTCTGTGGTAAAAGCACTTACAAGACCCTCCAGAGCCAGGAAGCAATGCTTAAGATGAGGACAAGAGCTCCCCCAGTGTGAACCAGAGTCATTTTCAGTGACAGTGAGGTCCCAAGCTCCTCCTCCAAAGGGAACAGCCAAGTTCATCAGGAAAGCCAACATGACAAGGTCCCCCAAAAGAATAGCCCAGCCACTTCCAACAGCTTCCCAACAGCTTCTACAGTGTCCCTAACAGTTTATCCTTCTTCTCCAGTTCTGCCTCTTATGCTGCCAGCAACAACCTGCAGGTGGGCCTCGCATGCCATGCACCATGCTGGCTCAGTTCAGCTAGGTGTAACAAATTGATCACCAGTTGGCAATCTACCATAGTGACCATGCCTGGCTATTCGATTCTTCATTACAATAAAGTCTAAAAAATTTCCATGTGCAAATTTTACTACTGACTTATGTGTTTAAAAAAGAGCCAGGTGTGGTGTATCCCCGGCACTAAGAAGGCTCAGGCAAGAGGATCACTGTGAGTTTGATGCCGGTCTAACTACAGAGCAAGACCATCTCTAAAAAAAAAAAAAAATTAAAAAACAACAACAAAAACAACACTTGGGATATAGGGCTTGGGATATAGCTCAGCGGCACAGTGCCTGCCTGGCAGACACAAGGTCCTGTGTTCGATTCTCAATACCAAAACAAAGCAAACTTATGAGAGCTACTCTGAGCAACTTTAAGTGCATAATATAGTATTGTTGCAGACAGGATATTTTTCAGCAGCTCTTTAGAATGTACTCACTTTGCACAACTGAAACTTCATACTCATTGAAGAGCAACTCTGTCTGTGTCACTCAGACACTGGCATTCTCTGATTTTTATTTTATTTTATTTTTTTGGTGGAACCAAGGTTTTGAACTCAGCCTCTTGTGCTTGCTAGGTAAGTGCTTATTGTACTGAACCATTTCCCTGGCCCCTGATTTTTATTCTATAAGCTTGACTATATTTGATACCTCATATAATGGAATCATGCAATAATTGTTCTTCTGTAATGAGCATTTAAAAAAAATTAGGCTAGGGTTTACAGGATCTTACTACACAGATCAGACTTGTAGTGATTCTCCTGTTTTCAGCCTCCCATGCTCTGGGATTACAGGTGTGCACCACCATGCCAAGTCTCAATCACCATCTTAGCATCCCCCAGGAGTGGGGCCAAATGGCAGGGATTGAACCCCGGTCTGTGCATCTGCCTAAGCAGGTGCTTTAATCCACTGAGCTAGCTGGCCCTGTAATGAGCATATTTTACCTAGCACAGCAGCCAGATTTGTCCATGTTTTCTAGTATGAGAGGATCTTATTCTTTTGAAATATAAATAATATTCAATTGTTTGCACATACCTCCTAATCTATTGATGGACATTTAGATTGTTTCCATGTTTTGACTTTTGAGAATAATGTGGCACTGAACAGGAGAATGAATATATCACTTTGAATATCTATTTTAGTTCTTTTGAGTGCTTCACCTCCAGAAAGACAATTGCAGAATCATGTGATAATTCTGTTTTTAATTTTTTTGGGACTTTTGGACTCTTTCATAGGAGCTGAATCTTTTATATCATACCACTAACCATGTAAAAGGGTTTCAGTATTCTCATTTGTTATCTTTTGAGTTATTTATTTATTTGTTTTTACAATAGCCATTCTAACTACCCTAAAGGGTATGAGGAAATATCTCATTGTGACTTTGATCTGCATTTTTTTTATAACTACTGATGACTTGTTGGTTATATTTGTTGGCTGTTCATATGTCTTCTTTGAGGAAATGTCATCTCAAGACCTTATTTTAAAATTTTAGGGGGCTGGGGAGATGGCTCAGTAGAATAAGCACTTGCCTGGCAAGCATAAGGGCCTGAGTTCAATTCTTGATTCCACCAAAATAAAATAAATAAGTAAAATTTAAAAAATGTATTTACCTTTTTTTTTGTGATAAGGTCTTCTATGTAGTTCAGGCTGTCCTGGACTCACTATGTTGCCCAGGCTGGCCTTGATCTCGTAGAGATCTTTCTGCTTCAGCTTCTCGAGTGCTGGGATTATAGTAATGTACTGCCATCCCTGGCTGCTCTTTTTATTGTTGTTTTTGTTATTGTTACTATCATCACTATTCAGTTGTAAGCATTCCTTTTATATTTTGGATTCCTCATTATATATATATATAAGTTACAAATACATTCTCCTATCATGTGGGTTGCCTGTTGGTCATTTTCTTTGCTATACAGAAGCTTTTTATTGATTTAGGTCTCCCCTAATTTTGTCTTTATTGCTTACATTTTTAGTATCATAACCAATAAATAGCTACCAAGCTCAATGTTATAAAAGCTTTCCCCTATGTTTTTTTTCAAGAGTCTTATAGTTTCATATCTTGCATTTAATTCTTTATTCTTGCACTTTGAATTGATTTTTTTTGTACAGGGAAAGATAAGGGTCCAAGGTTTATGTTTTTCACGTGGATGTCCAATTTACCCTGCACCATTTGTTGAATAGATTGTCCTTTCCCCAGTGTGTAGCCCTGGAACTCTCAATGACCACAGTCAATGCAAATGGAGTAAAAATTCCTATTAGAAGTAAGAGATTGTCAGATTGGATATAAAACCAAGACCCAATTATGTAATGACTGTAAAAATTATTTGTATATGCAAAGACACAATAGATCAAAAGGATAGAAAAGTGCCAGGATAGAAAAGGGTGGGATGGTTGTACTAGACAAAGATAAAGGAGATTAAAAAGTAAAAGATATAATCAGAGTAAAGCAGTTTATTTCCTAGTGATAAGGTTTCAAGTGCTCTTGGAGACACTGCAATCATTAATGCCTATGTACCTAATAAGTGAACTCTGAGATACATGACACCAAAATAGAGACAACTTCAAGAATAAATGTATAAAACACAAAAATGGCTGGAGAATTCAGCTGGGCAGCATAGTGAGACCCTGTCTTGGAATAAAAATAAAATGGTTTGAGGATGAAGCTCAGCTGTTGCACCCTCCTGGCTTTGACCCCCAGGTCTGTGAAAGAAATGTATGAAGAACTCTTTTAACTTAATAAGAAAATAAACAATCCATTTAAAAATTGCCAGAATATTTGCATAGAAGATACTGTCTATGCTTAGTCACAAAGCATATAAAAATACGTCAGGCTAATAAGCCATCAGGATGATGCAAAGTTAAATCACAATGATAAACTACTATACATTTCTTCAGAGGGCTAAAATTAAAATGACTGGCTAGACCAAGTGTGGGAAAGTATGTAAAATTCATGGAATTCTTTTTATTGCTAGTAAGAATGTAAAAGCAAAATAGTCTGGCGTTTAACTAAAAAGTTAAACATTAACCTAGCATAAGATGCAGCCATTCAAATTTTAGGCATGCACCCAAGAAAAGCAAAAGCACATGTCCCACAAGACTTGCCTGTCAATATTTAAAGTGCTCTTTGGGGGGTGGTGGGGTAGGCTGGAGATTGAACCCAACCCGACCACGGTATTACACCCTCGTCCCCTGGGTAGAATTTATGCTGCCAAAGCATGTATAGACTACTCCTTTATCTGTATTTAAGAAGTGAAAACAAATGGACTCAATTGAACATTAATATTAATTCACTAGAACTGTGGTACATCCACACAATGGAACACTATTCGTCAATAAAAAGGAATGAAAAGGAATTTTGGTGCATTCTACAATGTGGAAGAGCCTGAAAACAGTTATACAGAATGAAAGTAGCCAGAGAGCACAGAATCTATTCT